AGGGACCTGCAATGATAGTCCTCCTTTTATTTTTTTTTAGTTTATTTAGTTATTTATGATATTGGTCATGTGAGGCTTCTCTTCTGGTCAGTTGTTGTTTTCTGTTACTAGGAGTTAAATTCAGGGCCTCGTGGTTGCTAGGCATGTACTGCTTTGCTGGAGCCACACCCCTTCCCACTTTGGCTTCTACTGCAGTTCTCAAAGTCTTATTAACTCTTGCCTGGGCTGGCCTCAAAAGCATTTTCTTCTTCTGCCTTTGTGGCAGCTGAGATTATAGGCATGCACCAATACACCTGGCCCTTTTGGTCAGGTTTAATAGCAGTATACTAATTTCATCAATCTTTCAAAGAACAAGGTTTTAGTTTCTTTCTTTCTTATTTTTTGTACAGGTAACTGGGGCTTGAACTCAGGATTGGGAGCTGTCTTTTAGCTTTTTCTGCTCCTACTACTTGAGCCACAGCTCCATTAATTGGAAATAATAGTCTCACAGATTTTCCTGGCCCAGGCTGGCTTTGAAGTGTTGATCCTCTGATCTCAATTTTCTCAGTAGCTAGGATGACAGGTTCGAGCCACCAGTGCCTGGCAAGATTTTGGTTTCACTGATGAACGTTTGTTCTTTATTTTTTTGTTTTTAATTTTATTGATATCTGCTGTTGCCTCTTTTGTGTTTGATTTCTTCTCCTAGTTTCTCAAAATACAGTCATGTGTTTCTGATCTGAGAATATTTCTCTGTTTCTCACAAGCACAATTTTGTGCTTTCATCTACATACAGCTCAAGATCATTTTTGGAATTGTTGCCCTGAAAATTCTTGTTTGAGCCTGAGTTTGTTTAGAAGGATTCACTTTCATTTTGAAGCGTCTGAAGGTTTTTCCTATTGTCTTTCTCTTATTGATTTCTAGTTTAATTCCACTATGGTATGAGAACCTGCGTTTTAGAATTTCAGTTTGGTCTTTTTTTTTTTTTTCTAATTTTAGTGTGTTGTAGCAGGACTGGAGCTTGAATTCAGGACATCTCCCTCTCCCTCTCAACTTTCTGGCTTACAGCTAGCGCTCTGTCATTTGAGCCATGCCTCCAGTCCTATTTATTTACTTATTGTGCCAGTCCTGGGGCTTAAACTCTAAGCCTGGGCTCTGTCCCTGAGCTGCTTTGGCTCAAGACTAACACTTGAGCCACAGCACCACTTGGCTTTTTTCTGAGTAGTTTATTGGAGGTAAGAATCTCCCAGATTTTCCTGCCTGGGCTGGCCTAGAACTGCAATCCTTAAGCCTCAGCCTCCTGAGTAGCTAGGATTACAGGTATGAGCCACAAGCACCCAGTTGTTGACTTATTGTTGACTTGGTGTTTGCTTCTTAGGCTTGTCTGTTGTAAACTTTTCTCTTTTTCTGCCCACACTATACTCATTCAAAGAAGTCCCTAGACAGAGCTCATATTGAAGAAATATGGAGTTTGAATTGCATGCTAGTGGCTCACACCAGCCCAACACCCCATCCTAGCTACGCAGGAAGCTGAGATCCCGAGGATTGTGACTTGAGGTCAGCCTGGATAGAAAAGTCTCTGAGACTCAGTCTCCAAAATAACCAGCCTAAAAGGTGGGCTGGAGGCATAGCTCAAGTAGTAAAGGGCCTGCTGCCTGAGGAGGCCGAAGGGGAAGCCTGACTTTAATCCCAGTGCCAGGAGAGAGGCGGGGAGGGAGGGAGAGGAGGAGGGAGAGAGAAAGAAAGAGAGGAGAGGCAGAGAGAAAGAGAGGAACGAAAGAGAAGGAAAGGGAGGAAGGGAAAGAAAGAAAAGAGAGAGGGAGAAGAGAGGCGGGGAGAAAGACGAGAGAGAGAAGGAAGGAAGGAAAGAAGGAAGAAAAGGAAGGAAGGAAGGTTAGGGCCTGGGAACTATTAAGCACTTAGAGCTCCTTGCCAATCATCTCACCTGGTGTGAGACATTTTACGTTATAATACGATCCATCTTTCAAGCATCTACTGCTTTCTTTCCTTTGCAGAAAGAAAGACCTCCCCCCCCCCTTCAGCTGAACTTTCTGGAGGTCATCCTTCCTCCTCCCCTCCCCCTCCCTCCTCCCCACCCCCCCACCCCAGGTCATCGGACCTGGCAGCCTGGGGCCCTGGAAAGCAGTCAGCTCAGAGCTCCCAGCGCCGGTGACGGGGGGAGTCTGTGGTGTGCCCCCCCCCCCGAGTAAACCGCACCGCCCTCTTCATGTCCTTTTCAGGAAGCGTGTGCAGCCCTCCTGGATCAGTGCCTGCAGTATGTGCAATCCAGGGGGCCCTACAGCGCCCCCGAGAACACGGAAAGCAATGTGAGCGTGGGGTTCTCCCCTCTCTACCCAGCCTCCACGTCCTCGGCCTCCGGCCCCAGCCCCAGCCTCGTGATCGACGGGAGAAGCCTAGCTTATGCCTTGGAGAAAAACCTGGAGGACAGATTTCTCTTCCTGGCCAAGCAGTGCCGCTCGGTCCTCTGCTGTCGGTCCACCCCTCTGCAGAAGAGCATGGTGGTGAAGCTGGTGCGAAGCAAGCTCAAGGCCATGACGCTGGCCATAGGCAAGTATCGGGAGCGGCCCGGCAGCGCCGGAATCCATGGCTGTCTCATTCCGCCGCTTCCTTCCTCACAGTCTGGATGTTTGATTTCCTTCCACACAGCGCTGAAACAATTGTGGGGAGGGGGGAAATTCTTCACTGTTGGTTCCATTTGTGAAACAGTTACTGAGGTGATAACTCGGGTGGCAAGTTCTAGACATGTCAAGCTTAACTGGAAGCTAGGCGCTGGTGGTTCACACCTGTAGTCCTTAGCTACACGGGAGGCTGAGATCTGAGGACAGGGTTGAAGCCAACCCTGGCAGAAAAGTCTGTGAGAACCTTATCTCTGATGAAGCAGCAAAATGGTGGGGATGGAGGTGTGGCGCCAGCGATAAGAGCCTTTGAAGAAAGAAAGAAAGAGAGGGAAGGAGGGAGGGAGGGAGAGAGAAAAGAAAGCAAGCAAACAAGAGTGAGGCCCTGAGTTCAAGCCCCCCTGTAGGTACACAAGCACGTCCACAGCATGTACCTATACACACACACACACAGAGCTTACTTGGATAGCCACAAAATATAGTAGTAGGTACACAGCAATATGAAGAAGTCAATAACCCAGTGGTAATTTCAGAAGACGAGACAGATAAGGTATTGTCTGACCCAGATAGTCCTGGCTGCAGGAAGGTCCCGGGCGCCCAGCATTAGCCCAAGCTAAGGAAAAAACGCCCTCTGTGAGGGCTTTGAGTCACTCTGTGTCTTTTGGGATCTGAGGCTGTATCTTGTAGGAACCCAGAAACTGTAATGATCAAAATCCCTACTCTGTTTCTTTGCCTCTCTCCCTCCCTCCCTCCCTCCCTCACTCCCTTCCTCCCCACTTCCCCTCCCTCTCCCTCTCCCTCTCCCCTCTTCTCCTCTTCTCCTCTTCTCCCTCCCTCACCAGGCTTGGCCTCATGTTCTCATTCGGCTTGCCTGCCCACGGCACACTTCTAGCCCAGCATATTTGGCTGGTTCTTTGGAGATGGAGTCACACCAACTTTTCTACCTGTGCTGGCTTCGAGCCTCAAATTGCCTCCAGATCGCAGCCTCCTGAGTAGTTAGGATTACAGGTGTGAGCAGCTGGCGCCTGGCCCCCTACATCTCTTGTGAGCTCAGCTTCACAAATGGTGCTAAGATGGGCATCTTATAGAAACAACGAGATCTGAATAGCCATACAGTTTTATATAGAAACAACAAGATCTGAATAGCCATACAGTTTTATATAGAAACAACAAGATCTGAATAGCCATACAGTTTTATATCATATACAAACAACGAGATCTGAATAGCCATAGTTTTCCCTCATTAAGTAAACTTAAGGACGTGTATCTAATGGTATTTTTCCCCCTTTAAGCACTATTAGCTGAAGAACCTTCTAGGTTGCTCTCCAGTGACTCCCCATGGGGCAATTTCTCCTACTTGGGGGTCAAGCGGAGTCTCTAGCACAGGCTCAGGGACTCTGCAGTGCCACCTAGTGGTGAGAAAGCCAGAAAGGCGGAGTCTACCATGATAACCCATGGTCAACGTGTCCGCCAGAAATCACCCCTTGTAGAGGGAGGGTTGACATCCTGACCTCATGGGCACCTCAGCAGGTAGGAGAAGGCTGATTTAAAGCCTTAAAGGTGGCGGGGTGGGGCGGCAGGGGAGGGGGGAGGGTAAACAGTGAGGTCCTTGATCAAAGCAGTTGTCAAGCAGACACAGCCTTTGCTCCCTTAGCATGCTGGGGTCCGTCTTTATCATCATGTACCTGGAGTGGCCTTCGGGGTTTCTTGGAGCAAGTGGGTTACTGCCTAAACATGGGTTCCAGGCCACTCACTGCTCACCCACAGTCCTTGGTACTTTGGTACCCTCCGAGAAGAACATGAGGACGAGTCTGCCTCAAAGCCTGGGGTGCAGGGTGAGTGGGAAATGATGTTCTCACAGCCTGCTCAGAAGCCGACTCTGCCCACGAGTCACAAAGCAGAAGTACAAGCCAAGGGCTGGTGGCTCATACCTGTAATCCCAGCCCACTCAGAAAGCTGAGCTCTGAGGACTGAGGTTTGAAGCCAAGCCCCAGGCAGGAAAATATGTGAGAGACTCTTGTCTCTAATTAACCAACAAAAAGCCGAAGTCTGCCAGGTGCAAGTAGCTCACGCCTACAGTCCCAGCCACTCCGGAGGCTGAGTTCTGAGGATTGCAGTTGGAAGCCAAGCTTGGGTAGGAAAGGCCGTGAGACTCTTATCTCCAAGAAACTACTTCAGAAAAAGTATTGTGGCTCAAGTGGTAAGAGTGCAAACCTTGAGCAAAAGAAACTCAGGGACATTGCCAACAAGGCTCAAGAGTTCAAGTCCCAGAACAAGCTCATGCAAAAAAAGGCAGACGTGGCGCTCTGTGGCGTAAGCACTGGAGTGCTAGCCTTGAGCGATAAAGCTACGGGGCAGTGCCCAGCTTATGGCTACACTCTGCCTTCATTTATCTTCATGTTGTATCATTAGTGCACCTGTGACTTCTATGATTTGAGCTATTCTGCCACGAGCTCCCAGAATGCTCACTGCCCCTGAAGGGTAATGCTTTTATATCTCTACTTTGCCTCTTCCTGAAGGTGGTGGGAACTCTTGTCCTTAGGATCTTAAAACCTGTTGTCGGCCAGTCGTTTCCACAGAATAAGCAGAAATTGTTAATCACTACATCCTCAGAGAGACCAAAAGATATACACACTAAGTGCTAATCAACGTGAAGGGAAAAAAAACAATCTCTGTAGTTGCTGGGCAGAATGAAAGCTCTTCCATGTAGGTGAGCGTAAACTGCTGGCGTGGGTCTGAATTGGAGCTGCCTGGCTGGAATAGCTGAGTTCTTGTAAACAAGAAAGGGGATGATGAGCGCATCCTTCATTATGCCAGACACCGAGGGCTGTGTCTGTACCGGAGCCAATACTGTAGAGGGAACATCGAATTAAAAGGTGACTCAGTGTGGGACTGCTTTGGGGAGCACTTCTTGATTAGCCAGATGGCAACCTCTAGTTTATTCCAACTGCTTACCTCCATCCTCCCAGAGAAGGTGCTAGAATAGCTATTTTCTCTGATCTTCCCCATGATTCATTCACAAAATCCAACCTAGTGGGGACCTCATCTTAAGCCAATTTACTCCTGTGCTGCTCAGCTGGCTGCCAGTGGCTCACACCTATAATCTTAGCTACCCAGGAGGCTACGATCTGAGGATCATGGTTCGAAGCCACCCCGGGCAGGAAAAGTCTGTGACTCTTATTTCTAGTTAACCACCAAAGGTCAGAAGTGAAGCTGTGGCTCAAATAGAAAAATGCTAACTTTGAGTGAGGGGGGGAAAAAAGGCTACAGAATAGCACCTAGGTCCTGAGTTCAAGCCCCAAGACCAGCACACACACACCACATACACACACACACACACCTTATTCTATACATCCCAAGTGACTCTTCCTGCCTTTGTTCTTTCTAGGTGATGGAGCCAATGATGTCAGCATGATCCAGGTGGCAGACGTGGGCGTGGGAATCTCAGGCCAAGAGGGCATGCAGGTACTGACCAATAGGGGCTGTCCGCTGGAACCAGTCTCATTGGCCTCTTGTCCTGTCATTCTTCAAGCTGTCTTAACTTTCCTCTGGGCACCTTCAGACAAAGCTAAGGAATTGGCCTTCAGAACTGGCCTTTTGCGAAGCTAGTAAGTAGCAGAAGATACGGTGGAATGTCAGTTGCTCTGTATTTTTACAAAGCAATGTGCAATACCTATGTCTGCCCATGTCTATACATGTGTATTCTGGGGAGATCTGGTTTAGCAGGAGGCAAGGGGCGTTAGCACCAGCAAACCGGGGTAGCCCTGGGAAGCATTCTCTATTTTCTATTCCTAAACACTGGCGATACCCCATGGAAACTGCCTTTGTTATGGTGCTCTTGGTACTACTAAAAGATTAAATTTCCATCGTGTGTGTGTGTGTGTGTGTGTGTGTGTGTGTGTGTGTGTGTGTGTGTGTGTACATGCGCGCACATGCGCGCTGGTCCTAGGGCTTGAGCTCAAGGCCTTCGCTGTCTTGTTTAGCTTTCTCTGTCAAGGTTGGTGCTCTACCACTTGAGCCATGCCTCCACTTCTTTTGGCTTTTTTGGTGGTTAACTGGAGATGAGAGTCCTATAGACTTTTCTGCCCATGCTGGCTTTTTGAACTATGATCCTCAGACTGCAGCCTCCTGAATAGAGAAGATTATAGGTCTGAGCCAGTGGTGCCTGCTCAAATGGAGACTTTAGGGAACACTTAATTCAGTGTGTTTCTAAAAACTGGATGGTTGATCGCCACTTATTAATTAATGGAACTACTTACACATTCACTTGCTCGGTGATTATTTATTTAAGCACTTTCTTATGGGTAGGAGGCCTGTACAGTTAATCTTTCCTTGATGTTAAATAACTCAACTAACAGATCCTCAGCTGGAGGCCTGGTGTAGCTATCCCTCAATATCTGTGGGGAACTGCATCCAGGACCCTTGTAGATGCCCAAATCCAGAAATACATTTACATGAATTCATACAACGTTTGCAGATTACCCGCGCACATCCTCTAATATACATCTAATCATCTCTAGTTACTTCTAATGCAAATGCAGTATAAATGTTTGTGATACTGTTTAGGGACTAATAACAAGGAAGAAAATCTATACATTTGCAGTACTTGTTTTCCACATTTGTTTCCAGCCACAGTTGTTGTTGTTTTCCATTTTTTTCTTTTTTATGTCCGAGACCAGAACTCGAACTCAGTCCCTGATGCTGTTACTCCTTGGCTAGGGCTCTAATGGAGCCAGGCTTCTCAATATGGTGGTTCAGATCAGTCCTAGCTTCTCAGCAGATGCAGAAGTGTTTTTCATTGTCCATCTGCCTGCCCATAATGGCCTCTCTACCAAGCCTTGGGTTAGCAAGCTCTCTTTTTTTGGTAGGTCATGAGGTTTGAACTCTGGGTCTGGGCACTGTCAATGAGCTCTTCAGCTCAAGGCAAGCACTCTGCCACTTGAGCCACAGTGTCACTTCTGGTTTTCTGACAGTTAATTGGAGATAAGAGTCTCACAGACTTTACCACCTGGGTCTCCTGAGTAGCTAGGATTACAGGCATGAGCCACTGGCACCTGGGATCAAACTCCTTTTTATCCTTGCTTTTTCTCAGTGGCTCAGCCCCTACCCCTGAGCTCCCAGCCACCACAGCAAAGGACTCACCACAGTGTCCTTCACTTGACATCTAGACCTCGAAGAGGAGTTCAGCCAGGTGCTAGTGGTTCACGCCTATGATCCTAGCCTGAGATCTGAGGATTGTGGTTGGAACCAAGACAGGAAAGCCCGTGAGACTCTTATTGCCAGTGAATCACCTGAAGAGCTGGAAGTGGAGCCGTGGCTCAAGCTTTAGAGTGCTAGCCTTGAACAAAATAGTTCAAGGACAGTGCCCAGGCCCTGAGTTCAAGCCCCAGAACCAGCACACACACACACACAAAAAAAAACCCACAAAAAACAAAAACCGACATTAAAACAAACAAAAAACAAGACCTTGCTACATCTACCCCATTACCTGTTGTTCATCCTCGGAAGCTTTAAGTAAGTCCTATAAAGCGATCTCCCTGAGTGCCTATTGAGAATCATTTGGTTTTGATGGAAAGAGATGATGAGCGGGGGAAGAGGGCAAAGCCACACCTAACACTGAGTTTGAAGCTGGGCGGGTTTTTTTTTTTTTTTGTTGATTTTCTTCCCACCATCCATCCATTGCCGTGCATTTGGGAACGGGGACAGGGCTTATGACAAAGAGGCATCGCTGATAACCAGGTCTCCCCTCCCTCTCAAGGCAGTGATGGCCAGTGACTTTGCAGTGCCCAGATTCCGATACCTGGAGAAACTCCTCATTGTCCACGGCCATTGGTGCTACTCCCGCCTGGCGAACATGGTGCTGTACTTCTTCTACAAAAACACAGTACGTATTACACACCTGTCACCAAGAAGGTGACTGCGGTATGTGACCGGGTGCCAATGGTTCACATCTGGAACGCCAGGTACTCAGGAGGCTGAGGTCTGAGGATCGTGGCTCAAAGCCACGCAAGGCAGAAATGTCCATGAGACCCTTCTCTCCAATTAACCAGCAAAAAAGCTGAAAGGGGGGGGGGCTGTGTCTCAAGTGGCAAGGCACCAACCTTTAGCAAGAAAGAAGAAAGGAGAGCATGAAGCCCCAAGTTCAAGCCCCAGAACCGCTTGAGTGAGAGAGAGAGAGAGAGTGGGGAGGGAAGTTTCTAAATGCTCTGCTGAGAAGTTGCTTGGTTGTTTCTTGGGACTAAAGGAGCCAATATAGGTACACTCTCAGAATAAATGATCTATTACAGGCATCCCATAGAGGTAATTGTCTAGTCAAGATCATCCCATACTTTGCTGAAAAAGAAAAGTAAAATAAAAGGCGCTTTTTTTTTTCTCATTTCATATGAAAATCTCCATGCTATCTCTAATCTGTCACCTGTGTACCTCTTGTTCACGCTCTCAGTGGTTTGTGATGCCTACCTTTCTGTTCTCCACTTCTCCCACCCACTCTCTCTCATTTTATTTTCCAACATCTCCTAGCAAATGAGTACGGAGGCCCAGAACCCGTCAGGGTGTGTCTAATGGAAAGACGCGGCACGTGCACTGTTTTTCCCTTGGGAGTTCAGCCCTCCCGTCCTCACAACCCAGCACTGAGAAGCCTTAGCTGTAAACCCAGAGGCTCCTCCCCCTTCCCAGGAGTCGACAGCCAATGGGAATGGTCAGGCTGGAATCCAGCCTTATTTCTTTCATTCTTTACAAGTGGAATCTGAAGCAAGTTCGAGGTGCACCTTGGCTTACTGTAGAGCTGTGTCGTCCTGATACTCATTACACATCAGTCATATGGCAAGCTGCAAATGCAGTAGCTACATGAGCTCCACCTAGCCTACCCACCACCACACTTAACTACATGAGCATATGGTAGGGTGTTGGCTGTTTCCCCCCATGGTCTTGTGGTTGACTTGGAACTGCGGCTCAAAGCCACGGCTGAGCATTTCAGAAGAAGACTGGACTGCGTATCCCCAGCCTTGGCAAAGTTGAAATTCAGAGTTCAGAGGAAGGCACCAAGAAGCTGTTAAGAAGTCATGTTGAATTGTGATGGTCCACACTAGTCATTCCATCTGCTCCAGAGATGGGGAGAGGAGGATTGAGAGTCGAGGCCAGCTGTTGCAAAGGTAGCACAAGACCCTATCTGAAAACTTAAAGCAAAATTATTAGGCGGTATGGCTCAAATGGTAGAGTGCTCACCTTACATGTGCCAAGTTTCTGAGTTTAAATCCCAGTACCAGGAATTTAAAAAAAGTGGAAAATAAGACCCTACGTCAAATCATGGTAAGTTGAGAACTAGCTATATTTACCTTCTTTGGATTTTTCTTTACCTAAAAAATAAAACCTGGGAATTGAGCTAACTCCGGTTGCAAGAATGATAACCTGGTATTGTTGGCTATATATCCTGGCTGTGCTCAGAAGACTGAGTTTGAAGCTAGCCTGGGCAGAAAGAGACTCCAATTAACTACCAAAAAAAAAAAAAAAAGGTGCTGGTGGCTCACACTTGTAATTGCAGCTGCTTATGAGGCTGAGGTCTGAGAATCATGGTTCATAGCCAGCCCAGGCAGTACAGCCTATCAGACTCTTATCTCCAGTGAATCACCAGAAAACCAGAAGTAGCATTGTGATTCAAAGTAGTAAAGTGTTAGCCTTGAGCAAAAGAGCTCAGTGAAGTGCCCAGGCCCTGAGTTCAAGCCCCATAACTGACCAAAAAAAAAGACAAAAAAGGCGTGGCTCAAGTGGTAGAGTGGGATCCTTGGGCAAAGAACTTAAGGAACAACTCCAAACCCTGCATTCAAGCCCCAGTAAGAGCGCCGAAAAAGAGAGAGGAAAGAAAAACGGAAGGAAGGAAGGGAAAAAATGACATAAGCCAGTGCATTCAACATTGTAGATGCAAACTCACTAAGGTCAGGGTAACACTGAGTTGGACACAGGCTCCCGCCTGCCATGATATAAAGCTGTCTTTCCTTATTGGTGAACAAAAGGAGGGGAAAGGGTGGCCTGTTTTTAGTTCATAAAAGATGCAGGGCCTTGGTTAACAAGCATCTCTCCACAGGAAGGGTTCAGGGATAATGGCTCCTAACACGAGAGATTCATCTGTTTTAAGAATACGTTGGCCTTCCCTTCCAATAAAGAATGGAGTAGGACCGTTTCCATAGCAACAGTGGTTTGGGAACAAAGCTCTTTGGTACTACAGGAAAAAAGAAACTCAATTATCTGGGTATTTTTTTCTCCCTCTTTCCCTTGATTGCAGTCACTCACCAGTGACTCACAAGGCTGAGCCTGAGGGGTGGGGAAGTGTGTGTGGGGGGACAAAGTGAGAAAGTCAGCCATGGGAAGTAGAAAGGGAAAGAAAGTCAATGAGGAAAAGTTCAGCCAGGCGCTGGTGGCTTCATGCCTGTTATCCTAGCTGCTGAGGAGGCTGAGATCTGAGGATCACCCAGTTCAAAGCCACCAGAGCAGGAAAGTCTGTGCGAGACTTTTTATCTCCAATGAACCACCAGGAAACTGGAAGTGGTGCTGTGGCTCCAAGTGGTAGAGCACTAGCCTTGAGCAAAAGAGCTCAGGGACCATGACCAACAAAAAAAGTCCCAATTTGTCAGTTGTTGCTAGGGAGGGAGAAAATTGTGTGTTAAGAGACTTAAATAATAGCTTGAAACATGCAGAGAGAGAGAACCCACCATCTCTTCTGATGTCAACAAGCCTTTTTCAGGTCAAGAAGACAAATCTCAAAGAAATCAAGTGTCTGAGTTAAAGTTCAACAAGGTGTAGATAGTTATGATTTCAGAAACAAAACCCAGGCCAGGGAGTACTCAACAAAAAGCGTCCATTTACCCCTGCCTCATTCCCTTATCCTAGACCAAGAACCATTTGAGGTTGAACAAATTGGGTTACTCACAGGATGGTTATGGTCAAACCACTCAACATCTTGGAACCTCCCATTTCCTTTTCTGGGAACAGTAAGAAATCTGCCCCTGCTCAAAAAGAATATAATGCTGTTACTTCATGCTAAGAACATGCCACAGAGGAGAACAGGAAGTTCCTAGCTTGTGCCAGGAGCTCTGGCGAGTACTTTAAACGCATTAGCTCCTTACTCCTCATAACCAGTACTTGGCAGAGAAGACTGCCGTGAGCTATGCCACATTACACAACTAACTAACTTAAGGCTGTTTTGTGACTATAACAAAATACCTTAGATAAACAACTTACAAGGAGGAAACGTTTATTTGGGCTGGTAGTTCCTCGTTCAGTGGTTGTTCAGCCCTGTCCTGGCACATGAAAAGAGCAAAGCTGCCTGCCCCCATGAGACTAAGAAGTGAAAGACAGGGAGGGGCTGTGTACCCTTACACCAATGACCTAACTTCCTCCCACTAAGCCCCGCCTCTATCCCTCCTGAAAACATCGCCGCCGGGATCAAGCCTTTACCACGTGGGCGCTTTACCACGTGGGTGCATTTAAGATCCAGATTGTAGCGCATGGCAACTGTTAGACTACCATGCCTTCCCCCCTACCCCGTATAAATGCACTCAGTGTGCCAGTCCACACTCAGGACCTGGTACTAGTCTTGCTGTGCTCCCCTTCCTTCATAGTTTAAACGGGCTTAAGGAAGATGAACTTTCCTATACAGCAAAGAAGACCAGAGACTGGGTCCTCAGAAGAGAGCCCAGAATATAATCCCACTACGCTGTAATGTTCATACCATCACTTTCTTTGCTTTGGTGCTTGTGGGCACTTTTCTCTTGAATGGGAGTTGATCCATTGTCCACTGCTCCTCATTAAAAACGAAAAAAAGTATGGGCTGGGCATGGTACTTACATGCCTACAGTCCCACCAGGGAGGCTAAAGCAGGAAGACTTCAAGTTCAAGGCCAGCCTGGACTACCTAGAGACCATGTCACCAATGAAAAGTAAAAGGAGAAGGGTGATGAAGGAGGAATTCAGGATCGGGGATGTAGCCCAGGCAGGTTTTCTTGAGGGCACAAAGAGGCTATCAGAGAAGAAGCCACCAAGTCCCTGTAAAATGTAAATAGCCCTTGTCCCACTCAACCCTTGATTCTGTGTTCAATGAATTAATCATCACTAGCTTTTCAGGCACAGAACCTCATCCTGCCAGGGCTGCTCCTGGAAATTCCAAATTCCCATTGGCCAGTCCCCCTAGTGATGGGGACAAGGAAGGTTTGGAGAGAGGAAGAGCCTGTAGCTGGACTCCCTGCAGGGCTGTCTTGAAAGAGATTGCTGCCTGTTGATTTGATTTACATTACAACTCCACAGGGATGCTGATTCAATTGACTAGAATTTCTGCAGGGTCTTAGAACCTGGGCGGGACTTCCCCTGCAGGCCCAGCCCGGGCCCTCTCTTCTCACACATCCTTTCTCGGTCATAGATGTTCGTGTGCCTCCTGTTTTGGTTCCAGTTTTACTGTGGCTTCTCCGCATCTTCCATGATCGACCAGTGGTATCTGATCTTCTTTAATCTGCTCTTCTCGTCACTTCCCCAGCTTGTGACTGGGGTGCTGGACAAGGACGTGCCAGCCGACGTGCTGCTACGTGAGCCACAGCTCTACAGAAGTGGCCAGAATATGGAGGTGAGCGCCTGCTGGTCTCTGCATCGCCCACATTCATCTGGCGGAAAAAAGCGCCAATCTCCAAGAGTCTACACCACACACACACACACACATCAGGAACTTCTATCTGGATGACTAGGTGGAATGCCTACTGCAGAGAAAACTGCTCACATCAGGAGGCAGGAAACAAAGGAGAAAGAGACCCGAGTATCCCCATCCATTCATTGCCTGAAGGGCCCAAGGACCTAGAGATATCACCCCCTCCCCCCTGAAGGTCCTACCACATCCAATAGAGTCACCCTGCCTCAGCCCACCATGGAACAGAGAATGCTGGGAGTTCATCCTGTAGAGAACATTGACCAATAGGAGCGTAGCAGCTCTTCCCTGAAGTGGTAGTGAATGGTCATTCTGTCCCTTTCACTAGAGCCTGGGCCAACTACTTGGGGTCTTGGTATGGTTAAATACAAGTTTGGTCACCCTGGTCATGAAATCTCTGTTGACATCAGAGTCCGTTTTGCATGTAGGTATGTAATTGTCTTAGTCTGTTTTGCATTACTATAATGAAATCCTGGAGGCAGCTACTCAGTAAAGAGGGTTTTTTTTGTTGTTGTTCTTGTTTTTGATTGGATGTTACAGAGGTGCAGAGGTCTAAGGTTGAAGAGCTGTATCTTTTTTTTTTTTTTTTTGGTGCCAGTCCTGAGAACTTGAACTCAAGGCATGCATGTTGTCCCTGAGCTCTTTTGCTCAAGGCTAGCATTTGAGACATAGCGCCACTTCTGGCTTTTTTTGGTAACTCATGGGAGAGAAGTGTCTCATGGATTTTCCTGGCCTGCCTGGCTTTGTACCTTGATTCAGATCTCAGCCTCCTGAGTAGCTAGGATGACAGGGGTGAGCCACCAGCACCCAGCAAGCTGTTAACTTTTAGCAGTTTTAAAGTACTGACTTCCCAGAAGCCAGCTGTGGTGTCACGTGGCAGGTGTGAGGCCTGAGTTCAGGTCTCTTCTGTCCTTTACCGGACAGAATAGGAATTCAATCATGGGACTCCACCCTGAGGAATTTATTGAATCCTAATTACTTCCCCAAAGCTCCATCTCTAGATGTTCTAGTCAATTAACTTTACCTTCTTAATTGCTCACCATGGGCATTAAATTTCCACACGGAAAGCGGTGGGGAATGCTTTCAGACTATACCCAGATCGTAGCAATAACCTTTTGATTTTTAACATTAGGTCACAGCCATCTTTTAACATTAGCATTTCAGGCCCCTAAGAAATACCCAAGGGATCCACCACAAAACCTAGAAGGGCTAAAAGGGCTCAAATGAGGGGCAGTTACCCAAGACTTCACATGATTTTTCCTACTTGGGAGAAATGGTCCCTCAGAAGATGCAGAGAGCGCTCTCCTCTTTCACTGATGAGTGACAGCCATGACCGTTCACTGTCAACTCCGAGTGAGTGAGCATTTGCATGGTGGTTGATCTTTTTTTCTGGTTTTTGTTTTATTGTTATTATCAAGGTGATGTACAGAGGCGTTACAGTTGCATAAGTCAGGTAATTGCTGGTACATTTCCTTTTTGGATAATGTCACCCCTTCCCTAGCCCTCTCCCAGTTTTTCCCTCCCGTCCCCATCCACAAGTAGTGGAGTTCATTTTCCACATAGTGTCCAGTGAGTACCACTGCTGTGTTTTTTTTCACCCTTGGTCCTTCCATTTCTTCTCCTTTTACCCTTCCAAAGACAGATTAAATAAGGCAAAAGGAAAAGAAAACAAAAACAGCAACAAAGGCAAAACCACAAACCTCTAGTTTCCATTTCCTGGAGATCATTTGGATAAATACTCCTTGATATGAGCAGAGGCACATACCATTGCGCCTTTGTCTTCGCTCCTAAGAATATTGTCCTTTGGTCTCGCCGTGCGTGGATGCCTGGGGTCCTGTATCAGTCATCACGTCCCCGTGTCATTTAGATCTAGCTTCCACCGAGGAGAGAAAGCATGTGCCGTTTGTCTCTCTGAATTTGGCTTACCTCACTTTAACATGACTTGTCCCAGGTCTGTCCATTTCCCTGCAAATGACATCATCTGATTCTTTTCTAATGGCTGTGTAAAGTTCCCTTGTGTATAGGTTGGGTGATGGGGTTTTTCATGGGCTGTCCGGGGCTTCACCCTTCCCCCCATCCTGAAACAGCAAGCTTTGTCCTGGTGCGGGACCTGTGCACGAAGGCTGCCATGGCCACTGTGATCGTCCTGTTTCTCTTTGTGTCCCAGGAGTACCAGCCCCGTGCCTTCTGGTTAAACATGGTAGACGCCGCCTTCCAAAGCTTGGTGTGCTTTTTCATCCCTTACCTGGTGAGTAAAGCGCCCGGCCCAGGCTTCCGCGTCCACTGTGTCTGGGCACCCTCAGACACAGGACCTGGCGGCCTCTCCGCTGTCTTTTCAGGCCTACTACGACTCAGATGTGGACATGTTCACCTGGGGGACCCCCATCACGGCGATCGCACTGTTCACCTTCGTGCTGCACCTGGGTATTGAAACCAAAACCTGGGTAAGAGATGCCGGTCGGGTCACCGTGCCCTCCACCCCCCAAACAAAGGGCTCTGAGGCTATGGGCCCCACACTTCCCAACAGCAGGGTTCCTTGAGAACTTGGGGTTTTTACTTTTTGTAGCAGGCGGGACAGACTGCAAAGCTGGCCTTAGTTTCATGAGAAGGAAAATGATACCTAACTGTGCTCTGCCCAGCTTTTGGCTCCTTCACACCTGCTTTTCCTTTCTTTCTCCACTACCCAGGGGGGGGGGGGAGAGGGTAAGAGGGATTCCCTTTACTGCTGTGTGGCCCTTACACCTCTGTTCCAGGCTAGTCTCCCAAGCCCCACCACCCACCATGGACAAAGACTCCAGTCTGCCTGGTTACAGTGGCTCCAGCTTATAATCTCAGCTACTTTGAGAGGTAGAGATCATTAGGAGGATGATAGCTCAAAGCCAGCTAGGGCAAAAAAAAAGTTAGCAAAAACCCCAATCTCAGGAGTATCGTGGCACAAAGCTGCTATCTTAGCTACGTGGGAAGCATAAGTAGGGGGAATTATGGTGCAAGGCTGGCTGTGGGTAAAAGTGTGAGACCCTGTCTGAAAAATAACCTCAAAGAAAAAGGCTAGAGGTGTGACTCCAGTGGTAGAAGGCCCTGAGCTCCAAACCCAGTATCAAAGATAGATAGATAGATACTCAATTTTTATTAAGCCCCTAGAATATCACACCTTGTCACTGAAGACTGATATGCTTTTGTGGTCATCATTGTTTCCACCTTTTGTTGTGTGCTAATAGTGGGGCTTGAACTTAGGGCCTGGGCTCTGTCTTAGCTTCTTTCCTCAAGGCTTTATCACTTGAGCCATAGCTCCACCTCTGGCTTTTTAGTGGTTAATTGATGCTAAGAGTCTCACAGACTTTCCTGGCCAGGGTGGCTTTGAACCTTGATCCTCAGATCTCAGCCTTCTGAGTAGCTAAGGTAACTTAGGTATGAGCCACTGACAAAGACCTAAATTCTTATTTTTAACTCAGCCCTAGAATATCACATCCACGTTCACTGATGACTGGTACACTTTTGTGGCCCTGTCTGTGTGTGTGTGAGAGAGAGAGAGAGAGAGAATCCCAAGACTTGAACTAAGGACCTGACCTTTTTTTTTTTTTTTTTTGCTCAAGGCAAAGGCTAGCACTCTACCACCTGAACCATAACTTCACTTTCAGCATCTTCTTCCTTTTTTTTTTTTTTAAAGTAGTTTAGTGGAGTTAAGAGTCTCATGGACTTTCCAGGTTGGCTTTGACCCATGATCTTCAGATCTCAGCCTCCTGAGTAGCTAGGCTGACAAGTGTGAGCCACTGGCACCCGGCATCATCGCCACCTTTTTAAGTTGACATAACAGCCCTCTCTCCGGTTCCTCCTACAGACCTGGCTCAACTGGATTGCTTGTGGCTTCAGTATCCTTCTGTTTTTCTCTGTGGCTTTGGTTTACAATGCCTCCTGCGCCACGTGCTACCCTCCCTCGAACCCCTACTGGAGCATGCAGACCTTGCTGGGAGACCCCGTGTTCTACTTGACTTGCTTCCTCGCGCCCATCACGGCCCTGCTGCCCAGGTGGGTGTTATGGGAGAGGCTGTCTCTCGCCCCCAGAGCACGCAGAGCATCTCTGTGCTTGAGCCTCGAGTGAGCCTCCAAAAGTATACAAGCACTGCCCACTGCTGGTCTACAGTCTTTGACTTTTCATTTTTCTTCCCCCCCCCCCGTGCTTTTTCCAGATTGTTCTTCAGAGCCCTCCAGGGAAGCCTGTTCCCCACTCAGCTCCAATTGGGACGTCAGTCAGCCAAGAAATCCCCCAAGAAACTCAACACTCCCCCAGAAATCTTTGCTCAGGGACACCTCCCAGGAGACCCAAGAACTGAGCATTCCCAAGGGCGGACCCTGAATCCTTCCAGGTCCCTGTCCAACAATTGTGCCTCCTGCTCCCCCGAGGCCAGGGGAGAGCCCAGTGCGGTGGACACCAGTGTGCCGTTGAGAGAGAACACCCTGGTGGAGGGGTTGGGGACCCAAGCCCCAGGACCCTCCCTGCTGGGAGAAGCTACTTCCCAAGACTGTCCTGGAGACTCGAAGAGGAAATCGACCAGTGCAGGCCGGGCAGCGCCCCTGGCCTCCCTCTTCAACCTCCCCAACTTCAGCTCCCTCAACTGGGCCTCCTCCTTGTCCCTGGTCAGTGGGCTGGGGAGTGTCTTACAGTTTTCCAGGAGTAGTTTACAGATGGATAAACAGGATGACGAGTTCCTGGCCAGTCCGCCGCCATCAGATCAGGACTTGCATGGCTTACAAGGACAAGTCTCTGACTATTTCTAGGGTCCTTTTTCTTTATAGAACATAGATGTTAATGTTATTTATGTTTATTATTTGCACAGGGGAGATGTTATTTTTAAATGTTTCCAAGGCTTAATCCAGAGAAAGCAGAGGTACCAAAAGAAAAGTTTTATTTTTTAAAGTTCTAAATAGAGTATATTGATAAAGAAAAATAAGAGCTTTAACATATATATGTGTAAATATATATATAAAGTTTAAAGAAGAGCAACACGTGAACAGTGTGTTGAGATTTATTTTGTTTCTCATCTCGTTGTGGAAAGGAAAAGGTCATGTTGCCTTCAGTATGGTTTCCAAGGTGGGGGTGTGAACCCCAGCCGTCAGGAGAGATGGCAGAGGGGAGGAGCATGTGGCTCCCATTGACAGATTTCTCCACTGGCTTCCACTGGCGGTGGCTTCTCTTCAGCCAGAAAAGGAAAAGTGAGACTTCAGGAAAACTTCATGTGTCAAGTGCGTTCCAGTGCTTAATTCTATTCAGGCATTTCAGAATGATCTCCTTGTAGGTTGAACAGCCCCCATGTAGTGATTTTGGCTGATAAAGATCTTCACGTGCAATAAAGAATCATCACTTTGCAAAGAAGGTGTCTGGTAACCACTGTTACACAGGATTGTTGATCAGGTGACTTATGTGAGGTTGTATTGGAATGTGTTAGTATTTAACTCTATGAGCCACTTCCTTATATGAAGCCTTTTGGATTCAGAAGAAAATGATATGATGATGTATAAGCCAGACTCTCTGCCCAGCCTGTTACCCCTCAACCCCAGCATTAGGCTCTTGGTACCAACCAGACTGTACCCACCTAGAGGTAGATAATTTCCAGGCATTCATCTGATGAGCCATTATTTCTGTCCATCTAAAACAAAATAAAGAAGAAAATGATTGAAAGTATAAGCAAAGTGCTGCTGGCTCACACCTATAGTCCTAGCTACTCAGGAGGCTGAGATCTGAGGATCATGGTTCAAAGCCAGCCCAGGCAGGAAAGTCCATGAGACTCTTATCTCCAATTAACCACCAGAAAACCAGAAGTGGCTCTGTGGCTCAATGGTAGAGCACAGGGACCACACCCAAGCCCAGAGTTCAAGCCCTACAACCAACAAAAAAAAACCCTATAAGCATGTACATAAACATATTATGAACATGTAAATATATGTGTCAGCGTCTGCCCAGCACCCAGATAACCCTGTACTCATTAGCTATGTCCCTCCCTCCCTCTTCCTTCTTTCCTTCCCTCCTCTTTTTCCTTCCTTCCTTCCTTCCTTCCTTCCTTCCTTC